AGGTCTCCAATGGCTTCAACTTCAGGTTTGAATCCATTTGCTACCTTAATGTGTCTTTCTCCTCTTATGGAATCCCTGTAATGAATTTGCAACATGAATAGTTACGCCTGAATCAATCCACCAAGTAGATTTTGCATAACTTAAATACAATGACTTATCTATAAATATAATAATGTCCTCACCTTTTCTCATCAGGTGCTTCAGGAAGTCTGGACAATCATTCTTGTAGTGTCCAGTCTTATGGCACCATCTGCAGGTGTCCTTGTCTACTTGAACATAGTTGGATTTCTGATGGTGGCCTTCCTGTGGGGCCTTTCCTTGTTGCTTAGAGGAGCTATTGTCCCTCTAAGGTTTCCCTTGTGGTTTAGCATTCTTGTTGTTAAAGTTCTTTTTTTTATTTCCCTTCACATGGTTGATAGAGTCACCATGTGAGCTCTTAAGCCTCTCCTCTTCTTGCACACACATGACAATAAGCTTCTCAATGTCCCACTTATCTGGCTATAAGTTGTAATTAACAACAAATATTTCATACTTTTTGGGCAAAGAAGCAAAAATAAAATGAATTAGGAACTCATCCTTGAGCCCCTAGTCCATTGGCTTAAGCTTGGATGCCGTGTTGCTTATCCTTAATATGTGCTCTCTTATCCCTCCACCAGTGTATTTCTCATTGACTAACTTCTTAATGAGAGTGCTTGCATAAGCCTTTGAAGAGCCAGTGAACCGACTCTCCACCTTCTTGAGATACTCAGTGGTGGTGGTACATTCTGGGATCGAACCTCTTATTGGATCCTCAGTGGAGCCCTTAATCACCATCAAACACTTGCAGTTTGAACTATCCCACTTCGCACGATCAAGATCGTATGTCATTCTCACTGATGCATGGTCACGCTGCTGAGTAGCGAAAGCTGCATCAGTCTCATTTGCTTTCCTCACCGGGTCCACTGGTTTAGTGGGACATGGAGAGGTAAGTGCTAGATCATTGTTGGATAGCGCAAGTGCTATCTCAAGCTTCTCTCACCATGTGTTATAGTTGTTTCCATTGGGGGGAGGAATGAACGAGATAAATATCATTGGTTTGTATCATAAAAACAACATTAGAGAAAGTGAGAAACATTTGACATGATAATTGCATATCGTAATTTAAGGCAGGTATGGGAAACCCCATAGGTATCCAATCTTTTCCGCAAACTATAGCAATACAATCCACCAGAACACAAGACGTACGATATTACTCTATCGCCTGTGGCCTGAACATGTCTAAACCTTGTATCCCTGCCTCTCGTGTTACCATCAAGCTCTAGGTCTCGGTGACTCCTTGCCTACAAATCTAATAGATGGGCATACCCCTTGTAGATTGTCTAATAGCTAAATTCAACGGTTGACACACCAGGTAGGAGTTGTTGTCAAGATCACCGCAGAGAGTTTTATGGCATCCATTCGAGGAGTCATCATCCTCATACACCTCAAAGTCACCTTCTTGGAGGGAACCATGTTCCACTTTGGATCGTTGGCCTTTATCGCCAACGCCACAGACCAACTCCTCATCGAGCTGGAGATCGACACCAATGCGCTAACAACTCACTTCGAGGCTTGATGCGCTATAAGGAAGTCGAACATCAAGATCTGATCTTCAAGATGGATCACATCACTGCAACCCTCGCCGAATGCATCTTGATTTCTAGGTCGGTCTCACACCCGACTCCAGCAGCTTCAAATCACACTTCTACTCGTCCACTATCAGAGGTGAATACCAGGGTACCTCATTAGGCCCGTAAGATAAGCCTTTGGGCACCAAGGCCCAACAACAAATGGTGGAAATGGTCAAAGGGCCAACAGGCCCCCAACCTATCACCCATGGGCCCTACCCCCTTCGACGGGCGCACCATGACTGACCAACCTGCGGAGACCAAGAGCATCACCCCGACTAATGGCAAAAGGTTGGGGCTCTGACCATTCGACGCAAGGCCCTGAACAAGCAAGGTCGGGGGCGTCGATCGGAACACGCGGACCCCTACGTCAGGCTCGACCCTGGCTGAATAGGGCCCACTAGCAGGAGTAGTTAGCGATCTCCCGAAGTGAACTACCGTACCAATGACAAAACTGCCCTGCCGGTACTGTACACTGTGCTGGATGGAGATTCAACTAGTTAAGAAAAAGGTAAAAAAATAAAAAAAATCTCTACAACTAAAACATCCGTACTATTGTATCCGTGACCACGACACCAAAACCGCTCGCTTCCGTACATCCCCGGTGCGACGCAAAGCCGCTCGCTTCGTCGCCCTCGCTCCGTCCGATTTCCGTCCGCCCCTTCGAGCCATCCCTCAGCTCCATCGGTCTGTCTCCCCACGCCCCACGCCTTCCGCTAATGCATCGCCCCACCCCGCGCTTCGTGTTCTTCTGTTGATCCCTCCGCTCCAACGCCCACTCCGTGCCCTTCCTCCCCACCCGATTCGTGGCTCCGGCGTCGTTCCGCGCGTGGTGCACCGCCGTTGCAGATGGCGGGGTCGCGACCTCAGAGGGCACCACCGCGGTGGCGGAGGTGGAGGAGGACCCCAACGCGTGCCTGCAGACGAAATTATCGCCTGCGACCCACATCCGCTCCCACGCCTAACTATCGCCTGTGACCCGCATCCGCTCCCACGCCTCTCTCGTCGCCGCCGACGCCCGCCTCTGTCCCATCCCGCACGGCGCACACACAATCCCATGGCGCACCGAGCCCCTTCACGCCGTCTTCAGCGCCAGCACCGACGCCGGCCAGCACGCTTCGCGACGGCCTCATCTTGCGCCGCCGCCGCCGTGTCTTCCTCATCCTGCGCCGCTGCCGCCGCATCTTTCTCATCCCGCGCCGCTGCCGCCGCGTCTTCCTCTCACCGGCGAGGAAGACGACGTCGTCGGGGGAAGCATCGGCGCCGTGCATCGACGGTGAGCCGCCCTACGTTGAGCGCCCTCTACCTGCGTCGTGGCCCACGGTGAGCCGTTAATCCTCCCCAAATGTTCTGGCCCAGCCCCGACGCCCCGCGCAGTCGCATAACGCCGCGGCAGGCCAACCCCGACGCGAGCCGCCGCCCCAACGGCGAGCAGCAACTTGAGGTCGCCCTCGCGCTCTACAACGGCGGACCGTAACTTCTTCAACTACACCCTCGCTCGCTGCTGCCACCAGGTGTGCCAACCCCTTCTCATCACAACCGTAACTTAAGATAATTGGCTATTTGTACTCCGATCTGATGTAATTACATGTGTGTACATGTATTACGCCTGCTAACTTCGAGCCCTTCCAAAGATTATCATGCGTACATGTGCACACCCATTTCCTTGTCTAGAGGTTCACTTCATTTTTACACTTCTGAAACTTTAGAAGTTTCCTTTTCCTAAAACATTCAGATTTTTCTGTTTTCATTCAGTCGAGGAACTTTAAGATTTGGATACTGAAATGACTTAATTGGAGGAAACAAAAGTTGTAGCAGAAACCTAAACTCTGATAGGCTCAAACTCTGTTTTTGTTGCTTTGTCTTTGTTGAAACCTGGTGCTATACAGAGCAGAATGTATGAAGTGAGCGCAGGTTCTTGTGTTGCGAAACTTTCAAATCCTTGAAATAAATCTCCTCCAAAAATTATAATCCACATGCTAAACGATTACTGTGAAAATGCAATTTTCTGCATTTTACCAAACAATTTCAAGGGATACTTGACAAGAGATCCATCTCAGAATACGAATGTTGAGTATCAATGCTAAAAAATCTATTGCACTCTATAGGGAATATACTAATCCTCATCCTATTTAGATATCAATTTTCAAGCTCCATGGTAACAAAAATGTTGACCTATTTAGATATCTATTGTCCCAAGTTTATTATAAGAACAGTAGCTCATCATTCTTCAGTTAAACTAATGGTGTCTAGGTACAAATAGGTCCATTACAGGAACAAATTTATTTTAACTGAATTTAGTAAGCAACTCCTTAAGTTACTCATTTTTAAAGAACCTGCTATGGAAAATCTGGCAAGACGTTCGAGAGAAACTGACCACTATTCTATCTGACCATGTATTTATTGTGAACCAAAACATTATTTGTTTTATTACAGGACATTGAAGTAATTCTCATATTAAGGACTATAAGGCTCCATGCTTTATGATGGTAGAAACTGTAGTTTCATATGGTGCAATCCTTATAACTATAGTTGGTCAGGATGGGAATCGGATTCATTAGGACCTTATATATGGTTTTCAACAGAACTAAGGATTGCTCAGAATGCACCTATCATTACGAATTAGTACTAGAAATGCTTCTCCACAAATGAGAGAGATAGTGAAGGAGCAAAAATGTTATAGTTAGAAAACTAAGCAATTGATTACACCAAAAGTGAGTATGGTCTTGTTCTAACTCAACCTACCCTGGTACCTGCTTCCCTGATTGTGCAAATCAGTAGGACGGTTTCTCAAACAATGAGAAGCTACACTGTAGCTCAGTCCAATGCATTTAGAGGCTTGATTTCTGACGATATTGTGTACGGGCTAAATAAACATGGTTATGGATATTTCACTTGCACATTCAAGATTGATGTTCTGCAAATAAACACAATTCATCAACTGTTTTGTGACTTGCAATATGTATTGCTGCACATGAAACTGGAACGTTGCTGTTTAAATTGGACTGCCTTTTTATTGGCAAGAACAGGACTGTATTTTTATTAATTGTTCCTTTATTCTGTTCCTGGCAGTACTATTATTTTTTTATCCCTTCAGCTTGTGGCCATCCAGCCCAGTCTTGGCTGCTCGGTGTTTGCTGGCCTACCGAGCAGACAAGTCAGTAGCGGAGGACCTCGCCTCATCGATGCACGTACGGCTGCCCTACCGAGTGGAACGACGACGACACCTTTTACTCTTTTTAGTTGCAAAAATCATGTAGTTTCCCCCACTTCCAGAACATTTTACATTTCGAAGTTGTTTGCAGGCCAATCCAGACTACAGTGGGGGTGCCTGCCTCATTGCACTTTCTCGAGATGGCCGCTGCCGACCAGGTGAGGTACCTTGCTGAGTCTTCCGAGTATAGGTCACCTGTGATTGTACAATATACGGGGAAGCATTAACTTTCTCCAATTGCAGTCTAGGTTTTTCTGGTTACCGATTCTTCGTAGATGCCTTTGCACTTTGGTCAATTTTCAACTGGAATTGGAAACACTGATGCAGGTTTTGTGATGGGCACCGGAAAGACTCTTCTCAAGGTATGTCCATGGTTCTTGCTACTCCCAGATAAGTTTTTAAAATCAGTCTTAGAGAACGAAAAGAAAAGAAAAGAGAAGAAATACAGGGTATATGGAAATTAAACTATACCTCTATATTTCATCGATCGGTGAGGAGAGTAACCAAAAATATTTGTTTAATAGAACTCAAAATTCAAGGCAAATGGGAATCAGTAAAATATTATTGTTGATTACACTGACTTGCATTTCATTATAGAACAACAATAATAGAAACAATGGGTGTAAATTGTAATGTGGATGAAGAAGGGTGATAGCACTAGCATATTTGCATCGTGGGAGAAAGCTAGCACTTGCATTGCAAATTTTTTTACATGGAATCACGGCAAAATAGGAAGTAAAAAATTATTGTGCTATCCATATACACATAGCATGTTTGCATGCACCAGCATACATGGCAACGAGCCTTTCCCGGCTCCCCTGCGCCTTGCTCCAAGGAAAGAGAATTAACACAGAAGGAAAGAGAATTAAGACAAAAGTAAAGAGAGAGACTGCTATCAATTCTCTGCTATAAATCCTATGGCCTCGCCATAGCGCCCACCCTCGCCAGCTGAGCTCGCCCTCGCTCGCACCGGCCTCCGCCCTCGCGCCCTCCCTCGCGCACCGGCTGTGCTTCGCCATAGCGCGTCGCCATCGTCGTCGCCTGCCGCCATCGCCTTCACCATCTTGTTGTGCCCTCGAGGAGGACTGCGGACTGCCACGAGGAGCTTCCAACATCTTCTGTCTTCCACAAACGTCCACCCTGTTAGTGAACCCCAACCTGCCCAGATGCGTTTCTTTATTTGTTATTGCCTCCGGTGCTTGTGTGATCTGAAATCATGTCTTTAAAGAGTCTTGGATAGATACGTGCAGAGGCTATATGATGCGTGTTGGGATCTCTAGCTAATGCAAGGCTTAGCTCATTTTATATGTATAAAATTTATTCCGTGTACTTCTTGGAGCATGTAAATCCTAAAAATTTCATGGCCCTGTTTGGATTGAATTCCCAGAGGCTACACAACTCCAATAATAAATCATAAACCAAAAATTATTTCTAAGGTGTCACGATAGCAACCAAAACATGATCTCATTTTTATGGTTTGATTTGCATCATGATCTATCACCGTATAATGCAGTTCAAATTTTGTTGGCACGTGGCCACACACGGACATCAAATTTACGGTCATGTATACTAACAAATTAACAATGTAGGTGTTGTAGTTATTTTAGAGGCCTCACATGACGTCATCAAGATAATAGGACAGAGGCACAGAGCACGCAGACAACTTTAAATCTTTAATTGCTTGTCGATCTCCATAGAATAATAGTATATTATGTTCAGACTGACTAATGTCATCCTATATATTTTTCATGATTTTGGTTTCTCGGTTGCCGAGATGGGTTCTGGCTGTCGGTCGCTTAAAAGAAAGAGGGTGTATGCTGACCCATCGTCTGCAATCACCGATACACACATCTAAAGATAACTACGTTACATTTATTTTGTAATTGATCGAGGCAATCATTTTCTGTCAACATAGGTTACTCGTGTGTTTTATCATTTTAATTAATACGAACGAGATTGTAGATGGGTTGAATTCCATGAAGTGGGAATGGAACACATATCTTCCATATGGGATGTGAGTGCTATGGTTTTTTGGAAAGGCAACGTACGACATCACCATGGTGATACATATTTGCATGTAATTTTGAAGGATGAGCAGGTGCATTTTGAGCTCATCTTTTTGGACCATGCCTAATTTTTTTTCTACAGACTATTGTTATCTATCTGTTGGATCTAATATTCTTACAGGGAACCAAAATGAAAGCGGTTGCGTACGGCGACCAAACCATGAGGTTCGACTGTTTGCTTCGTGTAGGAGAATGTTATGACTTCATGAGAGTTGGTTTCGTGCCTACTCATGTTGGTCCTTTGGGCTACATCTTCCGTTTATTTGCCGACTACTTTGTGGTTCTATCTCCACAAAGTATGGCTAATGCACCACCGAGAGAGCTATGGATTTGTCAGTATCCTCGTACCTTTATGGAATTCGAGGATGTATACGCTCAAGCTGAGTACTTTTTTGCAGGTATACCTCATACGCCTATATTTAAAAATACATAGTTAACTGTTCATGCTCCTATTCCATCAATAACTATCATTTGTGTTTGTAGATGTCATTGGTATAGTTGTGCATGTGTCTAATATTCGAGGAAGGGATGACGTGCGGATGCGACCATACAGATATGTGGTGCTAATGAATGAAATGTACTTAGATTGAAAATTTTATCATTGCTTCGTGCTATCAATTTTTTATTGTTTGATGCTAATAAATTTTGTAACTCATAGGTACCATTGCATCATAATAACCGTCAAGTATACACACATATGCCATCGCTTATCGGAATGGCGACGAGTGGCATCAGAGTTGCGTATTTTAGTTGGTCTCCATGTACAAATGAATAGAAAGAGAGGTATTGTATCACTGATATCTTCATATGTATTGACTAAATAAAGTATATAGTTATTACATTTTTTTCCTCGTGCATGATCGGCGGAGTGACCACTGCTGACGATTTCAGCGAATTGGTATTCAGTCCTATTTGTAATCAAGCGCATGATTTTCAAAGTGAGGTTCTTTTGGGGTAATTCATTGATTTAATTTATTGACTACAACACTAACCCAAATGTTTTTTATTTGTTTATAGGCCTATGCAATCGTCTGCTTATTCAAGAATTTGCTAAGGATTTGCTACGGAATCGCCTACCCAAAAGTTTTTTACAACACAGATGAAGCCAGACTTCACCGAGTTTAAGAATTTGTTAAGGACACCGTGTCACGTCTCATAGATTTAGAGAACTAAATAATATTGTAATTATTTACATGCTTGTGACATGCTTTTTGAATAGATGATGGACATTAATTTAGTTTAATATAATAGTTATTTTGTGCATTTTCATTGGTCAAACAAGTTCAAAATATGTGAATTGAGCAATGTTTGTCTGACATATTTAATTGTTTCATTTAGTTTGTAATATCAGAGACTTTTTACCGATATAAAATATTATTTTAGCCGTATCACGGAAAGGTCTATATAGTAGAGTTTGTAAGCCTGCGGTGCCGTGCTCTTAGTGACTGTTAATTTCACAAACTTTGCTTTTTGCATTAAATGTCAGTTTAATGTCTTACAATATTGTTATCTTGTTGTGCGATCTATGTGTGTCGGGTTCATAAACCCAGGGTCCCTCGCGGACCGGCTTCCCCGCAAAGGCTCGGCCCAAGCAGACAGCACGCAACTCATGGGCCAGCCCAAATACCTGAGCGGTAGGCCGGGGGAGTGATCCAATCTCCGACCGGAAGATCAGGCCGAGGAGGAACAACGCTCGTTTTTCGACTCCAGCCCACCTCTCCGACTGGAGCACTCGCTTCGGTTGCCAGCCCACCTCCGGACTGCCTCTTAGACCGGAAGCCTGGCCAAAAGCACCGCTTCTGATTCTGACCCCACACTCTCCGACCGGGGATACGCCCAACCCTTGCTCACCACTCTTCTCCGACTGGCACGATCAGAGCCGACTGGGACCAACCGACCGGGGATGCCCGCTCGTAGGGACCAGGAGACGTGCAGAGAAAAGTGAGGCAAGGCGCACAAGTCAAACCACCATACCAGGGACCGTACCCTGCATACCTGTAGGAACAGTACTCTGCAACCGCCCTGACACAAACAGTATTGTAGGTGCCGACATTTCCCTCTACAGTATTGTGGGCGCCATTAACTCCCATACGGTAAGGCCCCCCCACATGCCTTTGGGCATTGATAGTGTTGTGGGCGCCGGGATTTACCGTACCGGGTGAACCTAGTGAAAATCCTCAAGTGCCTCTGGGCATCAACAGTATATGCAGGTATCGACGTCTGCCATACCTAAAGAAGGCAACACCACCTCCCACATGCATCTGACACTCAATAGTGACATCAACAGTGTTGTGGGCGCCTACCATTATCTTGTACCCGTTGGCATGGACAACAAAGTTCAGTAGCATATGTACCCTCACCCTCTCACTTGTAAAGCCATCCCCTTTATCTATAAAAGGGGATGCGCAACCTCCAACATAACTTAGTCCCTTTAGATTCATTAGATCGACCAAGTTCATTAGTCCACAACCGTAGAACCGCCAGGTTTGAACCTCAAGCACACGCTTGAACACGTAGCTCGTAGCGGAGCTCCTGTCGCTCTCGGCCCTTCCGACCAGAGTTAGACAAGACCTCTCGTACACACCATCTTTATCCCTCTCGTTTGTAATCCCACTGTAGACTTCGAGCACCTGGGCTCTGGAATAAAGTCACCGACCGACTCAAACTGGACGTAGGGCACGTTGCCTGAACCAGTATAAACCCTATGTCATTAAGTGCTAGACCACCTCCGATCACAACGTACGGCAAAACTACAAATATTTACGTGTTGGTCACTTTCTGCACCGACAGTTGGTGCCGTCCGTGGGAAAGACGCTGTATGTTCAACACTTTTTTGGTCATCGGATGGCCCACTTTTCCGCCACCCTCGCTGCGGCAGGCTCAAGCGATATGATTCACTTCGGCTCACTGAAGTTTCCCGCACTCTCACATGTTGGGATCTGGGTTCCACCCGTCTTCGAGCCGTCCTAGGCCTTCCTCCTCGGAAGCCTGGACTTCATTGCCGATCGGCTCGGCATACTACACCTCCACGAGGAGGCACTCGTTCTGGCACCTATCGGAGGGGTTCCCTCCATCGACTCTGGGACGCATGACTTCGACGGCATGGCATCTGCACTTTATTCCGAGCAAACTCTCTGCTCAAACCCCGCTGTAAGTAATATGTGTACTGTTATTTATTCTTTATTTACTATCTCCCACCGATCATCCGTAAGGACCGTATCACCCACGCCACAAACACCATATGATCGGTTCCCCTACGGCCTCGCGTCCTCCGTGGATGCGTACGCTTAGGTGCTCCGAAGGATGCTGGCGCCATCCCGCCTCACATCCGAATTTGTGGGAATGACAAGCTACGCTCCTGCCGCTTTCCATGAACTCCCGGATGATGAGGGAAAGAGCGACGGTTCTAGTATCGGCGACGTGGCACCCCACCACCGTCTGTCCTGGGAGTGTGCTATGGCGGACGCTCTGGGACAGCCGCCGGTGGTTGTGGAATCTGCGCAGACTCACACCCCTCTAGACCCACATGTGGGGGCCCTCGTGTCTGTGCAAGCGCACGCCGAGGAATTATGACAACAGCGGCAAAACTAGCCGCCGCCTACGCCGGCGCACTCGGTACAGCACGCTACGCCCTAGGCGCATAACCCAGCGGGCGGCGCCCGGAGTCATGCCCGCCAGGTCCAACACGACATCATGAATGAGGAGAACGATCTCCAATAGTTCGCTCGGGCTAGCCAGAACATCGTTGCTACGACAATGCTTCTGCGCGGCGTTCCTGAGCCAGTCGACCCCTAGGAGCGGGCGGTCTACCGAAACCTCTAGGTCCTGGTAGAAGCCGCCGCCGTTCATCAGGCGGAAAGCTCTGCATCACGACTCCGACACACACCCTCTCTCCCCACAGGGGGAACGGGGCACAGCAGCTACAGCCGTCAGGTGTGGCCCGAGACACAGCAGTCGCGCCACCGTCCAACCTGGTGCCTGCCCCACATCGAACGTCGGTGCATGAATGGACTGGTCCGCACCCGGACGCTCACAGCATTGTTAGCAACCGACATCAGGTCCAGCACGATGAGGACGCCCGCCGGGCGGCGGTAGGAGCAGGCAACACAGATCCCAGCCGGACCATCGAGGGGAGCGGTGAAACGCGCCCCAGGCGCGGTCGCTAGCCAGACGACCGGAGTACCAGCCCTGAGGGCTCGGGACCACGGGCCTTCGGTCGGCGTATCTAGAGACAACCATTCCCACAGCGTTTCCAGCCACCCATCAACATCACCAACTACACCGAGGAGACAAACCCAGGTATTTGGCTCGAAGACTTCCGGCTCGCCTACCGGGCTGGAGGAGTGGATGATGACTTTTTCATCATTCAGTATCTTCCCATTTGCATGGGGGAACATGTTCAGGCATGGCTTGAATTCCTCCCGCACGACAGCATCCGCGACTAGGCGGACCTCAAGAGGGTCTTCGTCGGAAATTTTCAGGGGACGTATGTCTACCCTAGAAACTCCTGGGACCTCAAGAGCTGCCAGTAGGAGCCCAGCGAGTCCCTACGGGATTACATCCGTAGGTTCTCCCAATGATGCAACTCCCTCCCTGATGTCGTCGACGCAGACATCATCAGCGCATTCCTCTTTGGGACGAACTGTGAGTCCCTGATCCACAAGCTTGGCTGCCTGAAGCCCCGTACCACCCGCGACCTGCTCGACGTCGCCACTAACCACACCTCTGGTGAGGAGGCAGTTGGAGTGGTCTTCATTGAAGGCCGGGACAAAGGCAAGGCCAAGCGCATGGACCAAGATGAGGGCCCCTCCACATAGAGGGGCAAGAAGAACAAAAAGGATCGGCACCGATCGGACAACACCACGATGGTCGCTGCGGCTAATCGCACGGACAAGCAGCCCCAACAGGGGCTGCCTGACCACTTCAACAAACTTATGGATAGCCCGTGCACCAACCACGCCTACCCCATCAAACACCTCTACAAGGACTGCGAGCTCCTCAAACGTTTCATCCGACAGGCCGGTGGGCCAAAGGAGGGAGACGGCAAAGAGGCGACAGCCAAGAAAGGAGACGCGGCAGGCAAGGACAGAGATGGCTTACCCGAACCTGAGGAGTGCATCATGATCTTCGGCGGGTCCGATGCCATCTGGACGAAACGCTAGCACAAAGTGCGCTATAGAGAGGCATGCGCCGCCGAGACGGCCGTCCCCTCCTTCCTCAGCTGGTCGGAATCTCCAATCACCATCGATCAGAGGGACCATCCCTCCCACATCGCAAGACCAGGATGCTACCCGCTCATCGTCGACCCTATCATCCACAAGAAGTGCCTCACCAAGGTACTGATGGATGGAGGTAGCGGCCTCAACATCCTCTACGTCGACACCCTCGACGCCATGCGTATTCCCCGGTCGGAACTCCGCCTAGCGAGTTGTCCCTTCCACGGGGTGATCCCGGGAGCGTAGGCATACCCACTCGGGCAGATCGATCTGCCCGTCACGTTTGGCAAATGAGCCAACTTCCGTTCGAAGGTCCTCACCTTTGAAGTGGTGGACTTTCCAGGGTCCTACCATGCTATCTTGGGGCATCCATG